TCTTTATAAGCCATAAAGTTGTTTTGATTGCCTCCATCACCAGAGAAGGAAGATAAAGCCAAATGGGTGTGGGAGTGTTCAGAAGATGAAAAGGCTGGCATTCATTCTGCCTTCTCTTTCCCTCATTACTGAACCTCATTAGTGGTGGAGAGATGCGAGGCTCGCTCTAAGGGGAAAGCACTGCCTCTTCCCTGAACGACAGCAGTTCCAGTTACAGAAGAGGATCGAAAACAACAGTTTCCCAGCCTTCATGTCAGTGGCAGTATCCCCAAGACATAAGTGTAGTAAGTAGGAGTCATACGTCACCGTACATATTCCTGAATTTTACAATTTTTAAGACCAAAACAGGTGTTTAAAGTGATCACTTTTGCTCAAAGGCCTGGAGACAGGCTCTGTTTCTCTGCTTTGAAGAATCAGTTGCTCAGAAGGGAAAAAAAACCAAGCAGATTAAAATTGTATGCCGTAATTTTACAATTGATCATAGCGCCACAGAGGGCATGGTACAAAGTTATTTTCCAACCAATGGAAAAAAAGATGTTTCTTGAAAGAGGGTATTTTTAGCATAATAAGTGATTGTGTAGTTATACAGAGAGTTTGTTTCACTTTCTTCCAACTGTGAATTTGATTGTGTTCATATGCTTGGGAAATTTGCATATAATGTGTGCTATTTGTATCTTAGCCAAATCATTTGAATCCAAGTTCAAACTGCTCACTGAGAAGGGACTGAAGCCCACTGAGATGAATATTCTTATCATTCATTTCTTTTTTTTTGAGGAAGATTAGCCCTGAGCTAACATCCGCCTCCAATCCTCCTCTTTTTGCTGAGGAAGATTGGCTGTGAGCTAACATCTGTGCCAATCTTCCTCTATTTTGTATGTGGGATGCAGCCACAGCACAGCCTGATAAGCAGTGCTTAGGTCCACGCCCAGCATCTGAACCAGCGCACCCCAGGCTGCTGAAGCAAAACACGTGAACTTAACCTCTACGCCACTGGGCCAGCACACTTATCTTTCATTTCTTAAGGAACAAATCGAGGGGAACGTCTTCTCTTCTTCCCAAACTTGCCTGTCTGGCAAATATGTTAATAATTATCAAGTTCTCACTGGTAGGAAAGCCTGTAATTGGATGAAGTCTCAAAAATTGTATTTGTCAGCCTGGGAGCAGTGAACACTGAAATAGCACTTTCTTTTTTTCCCTTTTTTAACTTTCTACTATGTTCCAGGTTTAACTCAGTTAGAAAAAAAAACTCATTTGTGAAAATTTTTTAAATGTCAGCACTAGAAGGGGTTTTCATATTGTTTTATGGAAATATAATTCACATACCATCACATTCACACTTTTAATGTACACAACCCAGTTGTTTTTAGTATATTCACACAGTTGTGCAACCATCTCCACTAACTAAAGAACATTTTCATCACCCTAAAAAGTTAGTCTGTACCCATTATCAGTCACTTATTCCACCCTCTCTCCAGCCCCTGGAAAGAATAAAACTATTTTCTATGTGTATGGATTCGCCTTTCTGGATATTTCATATACATGGTGTCATATATTATGTATCCTTTTGAGTATGGCTTCTTTGTGTAGCCTCACTTTATGGTTAAGGTAGCTGGGCCTGTGCAGGGGAAAAAAACTGCCCAAGAAACATGGATTTTTCTGGACACACTCAGAACTACAACCTGCCCTTATGAAAGTTGTGTTCAGCACAGTACTGGCTGAGCACTTGCTGGGAGCTCCAATGTCAAGGGGGCTTTCAACTTCAATGGAAATGTCATCGAATAGAGAGAATTGCATTCGTTATAACTATTCTCTGAGAATGCTCTACAAGATTGGAAAGAAGGCTTTGGTAAGCTTCACGGGGTATAGGAAGAGTTATGAACTCACTGCGTAGCATGTTCAAGTCACTAAAGTTGGTGTCTAAACCCTCTATAAGAAATATGGATCTGGTGAAGCATAGGGCGTTTGTGTTCCTGAGGGGGTGTATACGGTTAGGGCTGAGTCTCTCAATAGAAACTTTGAACAAGTATGTAACCAATGTATTTTTGAAGAAGTGCCAAAGTATTAGCCTGATTAAACTCTCTGAATTTTCACCTGCCTCTCAAAGGCAGCCGCGGCTCTTACACCAAGTTCTCCTCAGTTGATATTTGTACAATGATGCTTTGAGTTTTGGTGAAAACCCATTTCCCCTGGAATATTCCCCCATGAACTCAAAGCATGTAGTGATTTAACCCTCTTGGCCCATGAAATAATCCTATCTCCATCATTACACAACTGCAAACTTTACTTCCTCCAATTCTCTTTCTCCAGCTCAGTGAACCCACAATATCCCTTCTATTGTAGTCCGCATTGGGTCTCAAGTCAACCCACTCAAATAGTCTGTCTTCATAAACTCCCAGGGCACCAAGCTCATCGTCTGCCCCCCAGTTCAGTATCCACCCAGGGCTCAATTTATACCCTTAGAACTCTTTGGGGGTACTCTGGCATGGATTCTGCTTTCTACCCGTGATGACTTTCATCTACATAATCCCTTCAGGAACTCCAGGACTCCAGCCTACTTCCTCTCATCCAAATTCTAGAGACCTTGAGATCTCAGTCCTTCTGTTCTCCTAAATAAGCCAAGGAACTTCCTAACAGCATATCATTAGTCAGGGATTATTTTCCCAATTTCCAAATTCTAAGTTAATTACCACAAGAACATGAAAATGGTAGAAGTAGTATAGTACAGTGCTTTGGAGGTCAATATTCAGGACTCGTAGCCCAGGCTTGAATATTTAGTAGCTGTATGACCTTATAAAAGAGCCTTAACTTCTCGGTCCTCAGTGTATTCTTCCTTAAAATGGGGATAATAGTAATATGCCTTATAAAGTTGTTCTGAAGACTAAATGTCTATATACGTGAAGTAGTTAGATATGTACTTGTAACACAAACATTGTATAAAAATAACTATTGTTGTATTTCCTCCATATACAAGCAACCCATATGCAATGTTTATACAGAAATGCAGGAGTTTTTTATATGTTTGTTTTTTAGAACATCTTAAAATACCAACTAGGAGAAAAAGTATTAAATTGGGAAATATGAAGTCTAGAATCTAGTTCTGGCTCTACTGGTACATTATTATTGAACACAATGAATTTTCTTACGGAGGTTAAACATTTTTCTATATCCACAGCTACAATGTACACATTTTTTAATGCTATCCTTACAGAGAGTGAAAATATAAAAGTCTAAGTGATCACAGATGCCAAATTAGTGGTTTCCTAATGAATGAGATGTCCATAAATGATTCTTCTCCCTAAGGTTGATTAATTCTCTAGCTCAGCAACACACATTTATCTTCTTGAGTTGTCTTTGCTCTTAAAAAATAAATCCATCTAGCACGTCACTAAATGGTGATGAGAAATGATGACTTACAAAAATCAGGGTATTAGAAAAGCTGGCCAGAAGGGGACTGTGTTAACCCACCCTCCAACTGTGCTGCTCAAGTCTTTCTAAATGTCTCTGGCTGGACTCTTCTCCATTAAGCACTGCTCCTTTTAAAGAGGTCACTTCATTCCAACCTGCCTTCCAAGTAATATGACCCAATAGTTTAGGAAAGGCATGAACAAGCTTGCCGCCTACCTAGAAAATGCAATGCATAACCCAGCCTGCCTTCCTTTATTTTCCCAGAGACCCTGTGGTTGTCTCAATTTTAATTATTAACTCAATCTGTCTCCCCTCTCCTGTGCCCAGAGTGAGTGTTTGGAGAGAAGGGACTGGGTTTTGTGCTCTTAAAATGGTCCGTACTTAGCATTTAACCCATGCATAAAAAATTCTTTGCCTTTTATGAGTACATATGGTGAGTTAAGTCAATGCCTCTTCATCCAAAAGATGCTTTGGTCCTTTTTTACATATTTCCCCCCTCTGCCTGGGATGACTCCTCCTTCCTGTGCATGTAATGAGTCATCTTTTACAATCCAACTCAGACGTGGCTTCCTCTGAACTGTTATCCTCGAGCCCCTCAGACTTTCCATTCTCTGTGCCACAACAGTATATTTTCTTACAGAAGTCAAAGCTTTCTTCCATGGCCTTGTCTATATTCTTTGAAATAATCGTACTGAATTTTTTACTTTTCAATAATTTATTTATTTACTAGTCTTGCTTGCTTATAGGAAGTGAGCTACTCAACCAAGATGAAAGTACCTCCTTCATCAGCCTTCCCACAGCCGAGCCCAGAGCCTGGCACAAAACAGGCACTGGATAATTTTTGTCAATTGCAACTGCATGGAACTGATTTGAATTGCATTGAGTTCAGATTCATAAAGAAAATTCATCTTACTTTGAAGAGTTTGTAGTATAATTGATACGGTCAAATGAAATGAGGGAATTAGAAAAGGTATACAGTTAACTTTTACTTTGGGAAATTTTATAAATGACTTTACCATTTTAAGAGAATTTTTAAAAATCTTGTTGGGAGTTTTCTTCTCTTGGTGTTTTCTTCCTCTCTGCACAATTAGAGCCTTCAATTGTCCCCAGAAAGATTAGGATAAAAGAAGGGAGAAGGAAAAGTGGTTAATATTCAACTTTTGGCTTCCAGAAAAGGATGCAAAGCCCAAAGGAAGGCGAAAGTCTTGTGAGCCAGTTTTGTTGTGTGAAACAAAGAGATTTCCAAATTGAAGCATCTCTCTTTATATAGCAAAAGTAAATCTTGGAGGTTTGAACATGAAGTCTTACTATAAGCTATGGGTAGACATAACTCAGCATATGATCAAGGACACTTCTTGATGGAAGAAACTTCCTCACAGAAGAGAAAAATACCCTTAATAGGAAATCTGAGCTTTGAATATACAGAGTATTTGTCCAAATTAGATTAAGGTAACAGAACAGGAAAAAGACTGTTTTAAATGAGAAAGGAATGGTCAATTTAAGTGCCAATCCCCATTTCTCTCTGTCATCAACAGAAAAGGGGCCCAGAACAAGATTGAAACTATTTTAGAGAATAAAGTTGCCTTTTTATTTACCTTTCACATTTTGTGTAACGTGTGAATGTCGACTCCACTGCACATTGTTTGGGCTAACACAACAATTTTCGAGAAGGAAAGATTACCTAGACCAGATTGGAGGTCTCCACAGTCCTGCTGTCTGACCTTTGTGTGCAAACCATAGTTAAACCATCAAAAAGACTTCACGAAGGGCCCAGGAGTACATCTGCAACCTAGAAGATAAAAGGTCAAGAATATGGGCTGTTGAGATATGGATGAAATCTAACTGATGAAACACAGTAGTAATGCAGTAAGAACTATAGGGAACTGCCATTAAAGCTGAGGTGAGGAATTGATTACCCAAGATGCTATATAGACGATTAAAACCACTATGACCATCAAGCTGCTGTTGGAAGGCAGTCCTCCCCGACAGAGGTGTTCAATAAATGTTGGGTTCCTGACTACTTATGGCCTCTCTTTGTATCATTGCTTCCCAAATATCTTAAGGAAATCAAGGCAATTAACTAAAGATTTTATCAAGAGTCTGGAAAATAGGAGTGTTCCAGTTAATTAAGTGTTACAGTTAATATATATCAACTATAAAGCTTATCCAAGCATTAGAAATGCTATATTAGTCAAGGTTCTCTAGAGAAAGAGAGCCAATAAAGAGATTTATTATAAGGAATTGTGTCACACAATGATGGAAGCTAAGAAGTCCCAGGATCTGCTGTCTGCAAGTTGGAGACACAGGAAAGCCAGTGGGCTAGTTCCAGTCCGAGTCTGAAGGTCTGAGATCCAGAACTGACGGCTTAAGCTCCAGTTGGAGGGCAAGAGAAGACCGATGTTTTATCTCAGCAGGCAGGCAGAAAGAGAATTCTCCCTTTCTACACCCTTTTGTTCTGTCCAGGCCCTCAACAAATTAATGACCACCCATATTGGGGAGGGCAGCCTGATTTACTCAGTTTACCAATCCAAATGCTGATCTCTTCCTGAAACACCATCACAGACACACTCAGAAATAATGTTTAGACAGATATAGGCACCCTGTGGTGCAGTCAAGTTGACATATAAAATTAACTATCACATGCTATATGCTACTTCTTTGAAAACGATTAACCCTATGGACCTAAGTATGGGAAAGGGTGGCCATGCTGTCTGCCTCCAAGTTGCTCTCAGGTCTCATCCTTTACTGTCGCTGCAAGCAGCCCAGCCTCCAGAAGCGAATGTTTTTCTCCAACATCACCCGATAGATTAATTTAGTGACAGCTCTCAGCTCCTTGTCGCTGATGACAGTCTCAGAGTAGGCAGGATTTCCTTGCTGTCTGATTGGCATATGTCTTGAGTCTTCTGTAGATGAAACATCAGCTCTCGATGCCAGCTCAGCATTCATTTCTAATCTGTTTGCTGCCTTACCGTGTGAGAGCAGAAGTTTCATCAACCCAGCATGATTCCCAAGAATGGTGCTTTTTCTCTCAGATGAAGATGCCACTTTGAACCAGAAAAGCAGGCAAGCCTTAGAGCCATGGACCCAAACCTCGGTTTTGTCTCTGTCATTTACTTTGACCATCATCCTTCCCATCATTTTTTTCATCTGAAACAAGAGAAGATAGCCAAATAATCTCTAAACTTCCTGCATGCTCTTAAAAACAATTAAGTAGGTGCCAAAATTGTTCTGGTGGTTGTTTTATGAAAAAAAAATTAGTACGCCTGCAGTGGTACTAGATGAAGAATAGGACAAAAAGCAAATAAGGTGTAGCGCTCGCCACTGAGCATCTCAGAGTCTAGTAGGGAAGATGGGTATTTAAACAATTAACCACAATATCCTGTGATGAGTGCTAATTAAGGGATATATTTGATCTAATCCATTCACACCATCTTATTATCAAACCCAGGTGACTGCAAAATAAGTACCTGAGGTTAGGGGCTCTTTTAGGACACAGATAACTGGTGACCTCTCAGATGAGACCCATGGCCGCTGCTCTAACGTGTTATCACAAGGTTCTAAGTCCATGCACTGCATGATAGTCTCTCAAGAAATGCCTGAGAACAGAAGAAAGGAAGAAAAGCTTGACTTACAAGGAAGGAAAGAGGGCCTGGGTGCCAAAGGCCATGAATTATTTTGTATTCCTAACACAAAGCCTGGCACATTACAGGTACTTATGTATGTGTTCATTTGTTCATTCACTTGTTCAACCTGTATGTGTGCCAAACTGGACACAATGGTGATAAAGCACGTAAGGTCCCTGTTCTCGATGAGCTTATAATGAAGGATTGTAGGTGATAAATTAGTAAAAAAAACAGATAATCAAATATTTTGATAAATGATAATGTGATAAAGAGTACAGGGAGGTGGAGTGCATGATGGGGTGGTCTAGGGCAGTCTCTCTGTGACGTCTCAAGAGGGAACAGTGTAAAGGCCCTGGTGAGAAATTTCTTGGTGCGCTAGAAGGAGTGAGCAGACCAGACTGCCAGAATCACATCTGCTGAACGGGGAGAGTGATACAACGTATGTTTGTAGAGGTGGATAGATGAAGCATATGGTATCAGGTCAGAGCCAGATGATTTTCTAATAGCATGAGTCCAAGGGATGAAGAAAAGGGAGGTATCAAGGATTATGCCCAAATTTAGATAAAATGAACTTGAAGGAAGCAAGGGAAGAAAGAAGGGGAAAAAATTGATTCATTTATTGAGTGTTAACCTATATTTCTGCATGAGACACAGGAAAGGTGCGTGTTTTTCCAGGGTCTGCAGCCTAAAATGTTGTGCTGAATTTGATGACAGGTCCAAGGAGAGCAAAAGAGAAGAATATTCAATTAGAATACAGTCTCTAAAAGAGGCGACACAGCATTCTGATAGCGATAGAGGTCTGGATAATTTGGGCAGTTAATCATTCTCTTTCTGTGATTCCACAGGGATGGAAGGGAAGATTTATCTTGAAAGATGAGTAAGATTCACCAGACGACAAAGTGGAGAAGCACATTTCAGGCAGAGAGAACAGCATGTTCCAATAAATGGAGACGTGAACAGCCTGGTGCGTACATCCCAGAGTCTCCAAGCAGTTCAGCAAAAGTAGAGGCTGGAATAAAATATGAGTGTTGAGAGACGAGATGGGAAAGTTGGACATAGCAGATCAAGGAGTGTTCTATGTGCTGAAAAAGAGTTTACCAATAGCCAAAGCTTCTGAAGCTCTGGCTTGGCTGATCTTCTATCTGTTCCCCAAACAAGCCAAGCTCCTTCTTGCTTTGGGACCTTTGCATTCACACATCTACTACTCGTCTCCCCAGACATTCACGTGGCCGTCTCCTTTCCGTCAAACGTCAAGTAAATCTTAGCTCATATATAACTTTCTCAGAAAGGGCATCTATTGCAGCTCAATGTGAAAGTGACTCACCTGTTTCTTTCCAGTCCCTCTGTTTTGTTGTCTCCTTTGGGTATTCTACTACATGGAATTATCTTGCTTATGTACGTGTTTGTTTATTTATCTCTGCCTTCCTCCACTGGGATAAAAACTCAAGGGGAGATGGATGTTTTTCTGTTTTACTTACTGCTGTATTTCCAGCACCTCTAACAGAATAGAAAGTGGAATTAAATATTTGTGGAATGAATGAATGAAAAGGCATCGATTAGGAAGACTCATGGACCAACTTGCCCTTTAGAATACCATTTTGGGTGGAATGCGGTCAGATTGCATCCTTCTGAAGTGTGAAGTTCTAAATTAAGTATGTGAGATAAAAAAACGTACAATGAAAATTCCCTTGAAATGGATTAGAAAGGTACAAGGCCACTTAGAAGACTGACATTCATCCTTTCAGGATAGTAGATCCAGTATCCCTAGTTTTGTTTTGTTTTTTTTAATTCCAGAAAAGGAATTTTTTTGAGCACTTGCCACCCTATTCGGCAATCTAGAAGATTATTCTAGCATATGATTACATTCAGTGGAGTGGTGAGAGAAATAACCTGAACTAGTTAATTTTTTTCCCTTATGAAGAATGAATTTTGCTGAATTTATGTGAGCTTAATGTCCATATGATAAGATGCCACTTCATGGAAGGTGGAAGTGGAAAATCTAAGTATGGAGGCTGCAATACTATTTCAAAATGGCGTTTAGTTCCCCCTTGAAATGTAAAGAAAACCTTCTGTCTCTTTCAATCCTATGATAATCAGTTTTGTGTATTTGAAATGTTTCTGCAGCAAACTGAAAATTATCTTCATTGGGTTTGAATCTGCTTTCTTAAACCCAGTCACAGCTTGAATATTACTGTAGAAGATGCCTTGAAATTAAAAAAAAAACAACATGACCTCCAATGGATCTACTCTTTCTAATGATCTGGCTGATTAGAGCTCCTACTTCGTAAGTCTTCTCGTCCTGCTCCTGCTCACCCCAATAAAATGCACAATTCTTGGAGGCAATGTTAACAAGGGTTAATGAAGATTCAATAATTATCTTATAAAGGTTGAGAAAAGACTAAGTAAACCATTGAAATACCAGTTTCAAATACTGGCCTCCTCTTCTCTTTCATCAACACATAGTCAAATTTGGTCTTTCCTTTTAATCAACTAGGGAAGGGAGACGTCTTTGATCTCCATTCGAACTAATTTGCCAAACACTGTTGTGTAGCTTGGGGTGTGAGACACACTTCTGTGCTAAATGACGGTTAGTATCTAAAAGACTTTTGAAGATGGTTGAAAACGGTCTATCAGGAACTGCGTGTTTTGTGTTTCCACCGGCATTCTGCCACCACTCTCTCTCTCACCACACAACCCCCAAAACTCCATCTCATTTGTCTGAAATTATACTGGGGAATAAATTGCAGATTATGATAGTTATAATTTGGTTTAACAGTGCAGGTTAATAAATTGAAAAGAACCTGAATAAACCTTTGGAGATCCAAGTATCAGGCCCATACAGCCATGTACTAACACTCAATCTTTTCATCTTAGCTAGAAAGGATTTATTGCTGCAAATTCTCAGTGATAAATAGGCAGATGTGTTAGATGTCTCAGCGCTTGCTGTCCTGTACAAAGGGCTGATGAACACATTTGGTATGTGGAAATGTATTAATCCAAATACCATCATTTAAATAATGCTTTAAAAATCACAAAGCAGGGGCCAGTCTGGTGGCATAGTAGTTAAGTTCACACACTCTGCTTTGGCTGCCTGGGGTTCACAGGTTGGGATCTCAGCTGCAGACCTAAACACTGCTCATCAATCCATGCTGTGGCGGTGTCCTAC